TTATCAAAAGATTTTAGTGTAATTACAAATTATGTTACTAGTGATCCACATACATTTGAAATAATAATTACTTGTAGGGAGTATCATCTAGCCCTAAATTATGTTAGTGGATTATCGTGTCTTGTCTCACTTGATTGGAGGTTTATCCCCCTTTTTAGGTATTTTGGCTTTTGACTTGCCTATCTTTACTCTCTGCATGCTCAATTGCGTTCAACTTTCTTTGCACAGGTCTACAGTTGTATGTGCATTGATGATCTTAACAAACGCTTGATATGTTGCAAGCTAAATCCCCAGATGAAGCTAACCTGCTTGAGCAAGAAGGTGTAATATAAAAATTCATTGGTGTTTGGGGTCGAGAAGAAGTGTATTGGTTTCAACGCTCCCAATTGAATTGGAAAACATAGTGACCGTTAATTCTACTTTCTTTCATTCAGTAGTTTCAAGACGGCACCAAAGGAATTTTAATTCAAAGTTACAAAATGATGAAAGTGAATGGCTGTTAGAGGAAGCTATTTCAAATTATACTTTTTCATGGATGTAGCAACAATGTAGACCACAGCAAACTTGGTATGTCGCAAAAGTGATATCATGTATTGAGCCCTTGGTTACACGAGATGAACGCTGCATTGTGTGCTCAAATTAGTAAGCAAGAAGTGAAACAACTGCATTTTCCAATTAGGCACTTTCAAGGTCTTAGGGCCAAATGGTTTTCTTAGTGTCTTTTTTCAGCGTCATTAGATAATGGTGAAAGAGGATATTTTCAGATGGTTGATCACTTCTGGACTATCAACTATATGGGTTATCTTTTGCTGGAACTGAATCGTACTAATATAGTTTTGATCTTGAAAGTTAAAAGTCCAAAAACTCTTGCTCGATTTTGGCCAATATTTTGGGGTAATTTTATATATATAATGATTCCTAGATTGATGATGAATTTCTCAAAGCCTTTTCTGTTTCGACTGATTAGTCAAGAGCAATTTGCCTTCATCGTCCTAGGGAGGATGCTCTAAGACAATATTGTTGTAACACAGGAGGTTTTTCATGGTTTTAAGACTCAAAGGAACTCTACATAGCATGCCATGTAAAGCTAGACATTTAAAAAGCATGTAACACTTAATCAAGGACTTTCTTGAAGGATGTGATGAGATTGCTGAGATTTCAAGATTTTTCGGTGATGATGGTTAAACATTGTGTTGGAACTGCATCAAATTCTATATTAGTGAACGGGATATCCACTCATTTCCTTTATATCTCGGGGAGGAGTCTTCACCAAGGGGATCCACTTTCCCACATCTTTATTGGTTTCTAATGTTTTATCTATTCAAACAGATGCCATTAAGCCATTCAGAATCACTAAATGATGACCTCCAGTTAATCACATGCTTTTTGTAAAGGGTTGAACCATCAAATTTGCCTCTCAAATAGGAAGGGAGAAGTAAATATGCCTAAAAAAATAGGAATAAATTGTTTTAATTTTTTAATTATTAATCAAAATAAATTACACATTATTTAACATGTGATATCATTATACGTCAAAAATCTATTTACTATCTAAGTATTTTTTAACATAAAA